AAATTAAAGCCCTGGCCTTGTACATTACGAGAATTTATTCTTAATTTTGGTAGGGGATTGGTGGTTCTTACGAGCGCAAGCAACACGATTCATCATTCTCCGCGTAATTTGTTACTAATCAATTAGGGAGCGGGATCCCGATGATGATTGGGCAATCTCCTTGCGGACCGCGAAAGAGAACGATAAATCTGTCGCGATAAATTGCGACGGTGCCCTAGCCACGGGTCAAGTAGTTACGATTTAAACTGTGTCGGTGAACGATCGCACGGAAATAAAACGTGTCGCCCCTTGTCCCCCTCTCTCTCTCTCTATCTCTCTCTTGTACACAATGAGTCGAGAATAGATTCGCTGGAAACCTTGTGTCCTTTGATGTGCGTTTAAAGCCAAGGAACCCTTCCAATCCTTAAGATGCGACAGTTAAATTGGGAAATCGGTATAATTGTCACCGAATAGGATCATCGTAACGTACAATAAGTAAAATTGTTAATAAATCGTCAAGATTTGTATATAGAAATCCAAGACATTATTAATTGTTTAATTATTAAAATTGATTTTTTTAAACACAAGGTCTCGTACAGAGATACTTTTTACTCTCGGTTAATTTTTATATTTAAGAAAAATTATTTTCTGCATAATAAGTTCAATGTGATATTGCCATGCGCATGTATTATTAACTAAACTTTGCGAAGGACGCGGCGTGTTTTACTATGATCAATCAATCAATCGGAAATCGCACCTCGGTTTTTCATTCCCAATAATCCCGACGACAAAAATGCACAGAAGTAAAAGACAGGGATTATTGCTGTTTTGTTTTTGCTACATTAAATCAAGTTGATAAAAAATCGATTCGGGAAGTGGCGAGGCGAGGCATCTGCGGGCACTTGACGCGTGCCGTTATCGCAGATAAGACAGAAAGTGTTCGTAGCAACGAATCTCTCGCACCTCTGGCGAACTCTTCGCAGTGGGTCCCCATTGAAATTGTCTGTTCTTTTCGCCGATCGATCCTATCTGACTCGCAAATTACCTCCGCCTCATTCATAAACGCACATGCGCATATAAGTTCGCGTGAGCAACTTGGAGCGATTAAAATATTGCTCGCCAAAAAATGTAGATATGAAATTATTACTGCATTATTATAATGTATAGCTATTACAATACGCGTGGAGTCGAAATTTTGGTACTATTTTGACACTTTTCAGGATAATTCACACCACTTAGCTGATCTATACACCTACATAGACCAGCAACAACCTACTTTGATGACATTATATTTTTTACTCCTACCATGAATCTTTAATTCTAAAAATTTATTTTAGCTCCTATTTCAAAGGACCTACTTTAATACTAAATTGGCAAAAGTAGAAATTTCCGATACTATCAGTTTTTAAGTAGGAGTAAATTTTGTACTTGCAGTTTGACCTCTTTTACTCTCTTAGGTCCTACTATATAATGGAGTTAAAGGTTCATCATAGAGCTAAAATTTCAACTCGAGTCGGTAGTTCGTATATAGATTTGGAACAAATCTTCACAAATAGATTAGTTCTTCATCTGTATATCTGTTCCAAATCTACATATGAAGAACACCGAGACGCGAACGACGCGGTGGTTTTTCCAAAGACGTGAGTGCTTCGTGTGGAATTTCTGAGACGGAACGAGATTTATAGATAAGCTCCGTTTATGCGCGTTTCGTACCGTCACTGGGACCAACAGCCTTTGAAGTCTATGGCGAGCCTCGTCTTACGTAACGATTATCTATCGAGACTGCCTAGACTTGTGATAGACGCGATTAGACGCGGCCTGCGTGAACACGTGTGCATCTGTGGCACGTAGCCGTACGGCGAGGCGCGAGCCTGGAAAAACGGAGAAACCTGTCTGTCACTTCGGGGCCGCTTCAAATTTAACCCCTTTACGAATGCTTTTCCCCGATGGGCGTGCTACGGTCGCAAACCGGTTTGGTATCGACTTGATATTCACGTCTAATATTAAACGATATTGCCGGTAACGTTGCTATTTCTGGACCGTACACAAGTCGAAATTTTGCTACTACTATTTTAACACTTTTAAGGATAATTTACACCTACTTGGCTGATCTATACACCTACATAGATCAGCAATAACCCACTTTGATGACACTATAGTTTTTACTCCTTCCTTGACTCTTAAATTCTAAAAACTCACTTTAGCTCCTACGTAAAACCTATACTTAAATGGTAGAAAGAATTGTTCAACGACGTTAGGCTGGCAGATGTCTTTATTAGTTAGATTCCAACGTTTCGACCATACGGATTGTGGTCCTTTTCAAGGAATTAGATGTTCTACAAGATTACAGGACATTGCAATTTTGAAAATCTTTAGTATCGATCACATTATAATTCAGTTAACTTATCTACTTACAAATAATATGCATCAAAAGAAATTGTCTCTAATCCATCCTTGGGTGTCACTCGGAGGAGAGTGAACGAATTTACCATTTACGTTTTAAAATATTTAATATTTAATCTGATTTTATAACCCTGACTTATATACAGTTATTTATTTAACTTAATTATTTATTCTGGCTTCATCTGTCTGACTCCGACTCTTTTTTACCCATTCACAACTTATTCGTCAAAGTATTTATTACTTATTGTTTATTTTAGTTCAATTTTATAAATTCGACTTAATTCTAGTTATTTATTTGTTAATTATTTCTCGGTTTATCTTTCTGACTCCTACTCGGTATAGTTATTGATTTATTAGCATGTTTTCAATACCTTGTTTACACCACTTTGACATTAGTCCCACTTTGGTCGTCACTTCGAATAGACGTGCCTTCGAACACTCTCCTCCGAGTGACACCCAAGGATGGATTAGAGACAATTTCTTTTGATGTATATTATTTGTAAGTAGATAAGTTAACTGAATTATAATGTGATCGATACTAAAGATTTTCAAAATTGCAATGTCCTGTAATCTTGTAGAACATCTAATTCCTTGAAAAGGACCACAATTCGTATGGTCGAAACGTTGGAATCTAACTAATAAAGACATCCGCCAGCCTAACGTCGTTGAACAATTCTTTCTACCGTTGATAAACTACTGGCGACTTACACTCTTTCGCTATACTTTAATGCTAAATTGGCAAAAGTAGAAATTTCCGACACTATCAGTTTCAAAGTAGGAGTAAATTTTGCACTTGTAGTTCGACCACTTTTACTGTCTTAGGTCCTACTGCAAAAGGTTCAACATACGGCCATAATTTCGACTCGGGAAGTCTTTTGAAAAACCACCACGTCTTTTGCGTCTTCCCGAGTCAAAATTTTGGTACTATAATATTTTGATACTTTTAAGGATAATTATTCATATATCAATCGACGTACGTACAAACCCTTTGTGCTATAAGGAAGCTATTATTATTAATGATTATCAATTATGTTCGATATTGAGAGACCGAAAGACACCTTTCTGTACCAGTGCCGGGTGGGAGTGCTTCGCGATTGAAGAAATCTCACGCGGCGAACGCTCGTCTCGTGTTCTCGCCTCGAGAGCGCCGGCGCGGTTATATAAATCGGAGCAAGTTATTTTTTCGCGCAGTCTTTAAAATTACTGCGCCCGACGCCGTAGGCGTAGAGATGGAAATAAATGCAAATCAATCGTTCGCTTGCCGAATGCTCTGGCGAATATTGGCCCATTCAAGATGCGGCGCGGCGAGTCCGCGCAGGATTCGCACGAACGCGAGCGAAGTGTCACCTCAGTGCGCGAGTCCAAGAGGTGAGGAATTGATTCGCGGCCAATTGAGCGTGTATTTATATCGTTCCAATTTTCTCGCAGTGGCGGCCACGCGATTTTCTAAGCGCACTCTCGGATCTGTCGCAGGTAGTATCGCGCGACGACCTGCGGCCGATCGATCATTGTTCCCTCGTTACGTAATTCCGCGAGTCTTTCCTTGAACTTTGAGCTGCCATCGTACGAAAAGCGACAGTGGCTTCTTTTCCGCGCGAAAGACCGCCTGCGTTGGCCTCCCAGGTTTGTGCGTTTCGGTGAACGACGGATTCCGGCGACGGATAAAGCGTGATGTATGTCGCGATTTCAAACAGCGATCGCGCCGCGTTTTCCTGCCAGTTTCGCTGTCGACGGCCGATTATAGCTTCTACGATGCCAGAAATAGTTGTCGGGCATACGATAACAAACCACGGTGCGAAAGGAAGATATTCTTCTCTCGTTCGCCTCACAAATAGTCGTACGTCAATATCCGAATGTCTCTCAAAGTTGGAATCGCGACGAAGGATTCACAACGGTATCGGCGCGTGCCTCGACTCGTGCCATTCGGTTATTCTTGTCGAGAAGTGGTTACATAAATCCATAGTAATCCGTAATTCTTTTAATTTTTCAACACGCGCGTTTAACAGATTTTGTGATTCCACGAAGAATCAAAGACCACTGCGATCGGAGCTGGACTTTGCGCGTCAGAATGCTGCACGTGGGTCGTAATGACCGATCATTTGTACTTCCTGCAGCGCTGCTTCGATACGCGCAACATTATGGCCATGAGCCAATGTTGTGACTCTCGTTACTATTAATGACGAGCTGCGTCATTAATGCGTGTTTGCGTCAATTTTTTGTCTTCCCTCCCTTTTGTATTTCTACTAGCGTACCGTTAACAAGCTATTAACAGGCTAACTTGGATTGTATATCGCGAACACGACTCGCGATCGATGAAGTAAAGATAATTAATTGTGGGATGATAAATCCTAGGCAACAACCGTCCGCCAGACGTTACACCAAGAAAAATACATTTAGTGCAATTACATTTGACTAATAATCCCGGCTGTTATCATCTTGAGAGAAAACAAGTTTAATTAATCGGCTCGAATCGATCTCTTTGATCGATACGGTTGCGTCGCGAGAGGCCGTTGCGATGAAAAATAGTGAAAAATGTTACATCTCGTTATATGTCATTGACTTATCACAGCTCTCGCAATCGCAAACGAAGCTGAAATCCGTCGCTCTTTTTTTTCCAGAACGGCAACTCGGCCAGCGTGCCGGCAGGCCGAGGCAGCGATTCGACCTCGCCTTTGCCCTTGCCGTTGGAGGGCAGGCACGCCGAGGAAACGGCCGGCTCCGCTGCCCTCAAGATGGGCAGCACAGACTCGGCAGGCAACGCCCGCGGGCCTTCCTGCGGTTTGGTCAGCTCTCTCCTTCCCAACAGCTGTCGGGGTAGCGCGGAGGCGTTCGCCCGGTGTCTTCATCGACGACTAACGTCACTGGGCAACGAGAACGGCTCGCCCGAGCGGACCGCGGATGCAGCCAAGCCGTGCGAAACCTCTTGGCTGCATCCGTCGTCGAGCAATCGGCATGTAATCACCAATAATTTGACCGTCAACAATCAGCATCCGATTCTTCAGCATCAGCCGCGCCACAGTCCGGAATCGGATCTCTTCTACGACATCGAGGTGGAAGAGGCGGAAGTGGACGGGCCGGGTTCGCCTCCCGAGGAAGCGACTGCCGCTGAATTGGCGCATCTGCTGGTGAACCCGGAGATCCTCAAGGCGAGTCATCACGACGCTTGTCACTGCTCGCCTAGCGGAACCAAGTTGACGTCTGGCATCACGGGTATCCATCAAGACGCCGAGTCCTGCGCGTTCGCATCACCGATAACCGGCACGCCACCGGACAGCGACTCCTCGGAAATGTTCTTCGACCCGGAGTCCTCGGACGCGGACAAATCGAAAGCCGAGGTATACTTCGATCCTGTCAGTACTTCGGACAGCGAGGCCACGAATCTCTCCAACGCTCCCGTTCCCGTGAGGACCAAGCTCGCGTTGAACGGCGGCCGTAAGCGGACGGACGCGGAACGATGCGAGGACACAACGTCCGAGTCGAGTTGCTCCTTAAGAACAAATCCTGCGTCTTGCGAGAATGGTTGTGGTCAGGAGGGATTGGTTTGCAGCTCGGAAGACTCCCTGAACGGCAGGAGCTCTCAGGAGACGACGTCGCCCAGCCACGAGTCTCTGTGGAGCACGTTCGACGACAGTACCGTGTCGTTGCAGGACGAGAGCCCATCCAGAACCATTCAGGACTCTGTTGTTCCACACATCTGTTTGCCCAAGTCGCATTCTGACTCCGAGCTACCTAGCAACGGTATCGGCACAGTAGTATTTAACAAACTCGACAGGCGGGACGAGGAGGAAGAGGCGGAAGTGGATGGACGTGAGGTCGATCAAGTTGATTTCGTCAATGGTATATCGGAGAATGTGATATGCGACGTCATGAATGGTGGCCTCTCCGCGACGCGAGATGTCGGAAACGGAAGTGACGTAGCGAAGGATGATTCTTTCAACGGTGCTGCTGAAGACTCGGCCGATACGATCGAGGATAAGAAAGCATGTATAGAATTGGAATTAAACGCGACGTCGCCGAAGAGTACGTCGCAGTTAAAAGCGGAGGAAGTTGCCAGTGACACTGACACCGATCATTCATCTTACAGTAGTACCGTCGATATCCCGGATGCGTTTACATTGGAATATTCGAACAATGCCACGGTGGCCGAGACGACCCCGAGGAGCGAGCTGAAGCTACAGATCGAGAAGAACACCGCGTTCAACGACAACGACGAGAAATTGTGCCTATTACTCAAGAAACTTGGCGGTAGTTGTACCGCGCAGGAGGAGGACTCTTCTCCGGAGCAGGAGACCCCGAGCGAGACGGTGGAAGAGGAGGAAGACAGGCCGCAGAGGGTTCGAAGATGTTCCTCGTTGAAGACGGGAAAAACGCCACCGGGTACGCCGCACAGGAAGAAGATTGTCAGATTCGCAGACAAGCTTGGTCTCGATTTGGCCGACGTGAGAACGTTCTTGGACGAGATACCAAAAATACCCAACTCCGCGTACAGCGACCTGATCTACGATGACATCTTCCGACCGCAGGATAGCAACGCGGACAGTGTAGCGTCCGTCGGCGACGACTGGTCCGATCGTTATCAGAATGATGGCAGGCGCAGATCTACGCCAGCGATACCCAGAAAGATCGATCGAATGCTCGTGCCGCTGTTCCAGCAGCCGGGCGGCATGTCGAACTTTTTGGATATAGTGCGCGAGCGTCGGGTTTGCTTGGAAAATGTGGTGGTACAGGACCCGGTGACCCTGGCGATCCAGGGCATGGTGCGTGTAATCAATATCGATTTCCATAAGTCTGTACACGTGAGGTATACTCTCAACTCCTGGCGGAACTTCAGCGACTTGCAGGCGATCTATGTACCTAACTCGTGCGACGGCTTCAGCGATAAATTCTCCTTTATCTTGTATTGCCATACGTTATTGGTCGGCCAAAGGCTCGAGTTTGCAGTCCGATTCCAATGCAAGGGCGCGCAGCATTGGGATAACAACGCCGGTGCCAATTACTGCTTCCAGTGTCTGCCGGCCTCGTCATCAACCGGATACGTACCGATCACCGCCGACGAGTGTCGGCGCGGTAACTGGTCGTCTATGTTCTACTGATGGACGTCCAGAGCATGCGTTTGTCTGATTTGATGATGTGACAACGGCGTAGTTCCGGGTACACAAACTGATTGAAGAGGTTGTTGAAGAGGCTAACGGTGCGAGCTCGACGGTTTTTACACGTTCCTAAATAAGTGCTTTGTAACGAAGTGTGCGAAACAGAACATTTGGAATCAATTACTGTTGTTTGTTGCTTCAGGGAGCTCTCGGGGAGTTTTCGGATATACAATGTAGCGTATATTAATCTTCGTAATCAGGCGTCAAACATTTTTGAGATAATACCGTTTAGAAAGGAAAGAGTAATGGTGTAATAGCAATTTTCTCGAACGGCCAGCCATAGAAATAGTAACGAGTGAAAACCATTTAACTGTGGATTATGGGAACAACGATAAATGAATTGTCTCTGAAATGAACAGGTGGAGTTGCTCAATTAGCAAACGATTATAATGTTTTTCTTGAGTTCATTAATTGATTCAGTATCTTGGAAACAGAAAAAAGTCATATACACGCTTGGCAATAAAATATGAAAAATATCGCATGTAGACACACACGGGACATTTAAGCCTGTTTTTCGGCCCACAAAATAATATTGACTGATTTTCAAGAAACACTAATGATTATACTAATGTATATTAAGATTAGACTGATCCGTTAAATAGACAAATATTTTCTTACTTTCTGAAATCTCTTTTCGCGAAAGTATTTTTCGAGAGATTGCGGAAAGTATTTCCGCCCGCTACATAGTTTGTCTTAAACTGTATTTATTAAGCCGATGGAGATTATAATTTTAAAAACTGAAACCCTTTCAACGAAGCAGAAAACGAATACTCTGAGAGTTCAAAGGTGGGAAATGGAAATTGAATACGAGATTGATAGGAAACGCTAAGAACAAATAAACGGTTTAAACGTTCCTATGGAGTATCTTTGCAGAGTTTATGTCGGGGTTAAAGATGATAGATCATTTATTCGATCACGCATGAAAGAATTATCGCACGTGGCCGCGATTTTGTTAGCATTATCCAGTACAACGACGATAGATGATAATAAAACGAACGCTGATATAATGATATTAGTTCTTGTTAGCGACATCATACGAGTTTAGAGATCATCGCGGAGGATAGGGGTTCCCTGAGATCTTACATACAGGAACATTTATATTTCTTCTGCGGAATAATGTGTTCGATATTGACTGGAACGTTTGAATAAAAAAAAAACGTGCGATTTAAATTTAATCGAGGTCTCTAAAGATATATCAATATCTTGATTTGACATAACAAATACTTTAATCCTTTTCAATCTGTTCTCTTTGCCAAATATGAAATAGACTTATCCTGAAAAGAAATCAGTTTCTATATTATTTAATGTTGAGAAGTAAAAAATTTAGAAAAAAATATATGTAAAAAGAATATATGTAAAAAGAATATATGTACAAAAATGAACGAGCTGGAAATATGAACTAAACGTCATTTATATTCGTTTTTGCAAATAACACTTTTTTAGACTGATATCATGTGGTGGTGAGATATAGGAAAAAGGAGCTCCACTTGAGAGCGTACATGTTATTTTGTACATATATTATATATGCGTACGTGTGTACAGGTAGCGTCAGTATTGGTGGCACAGGCATGTCGTATATTGACTAATTTTACTTTTTCAGCGTAACATATTTAAATAAAACTACAGAAATCTTTATTACGTTTATTATTATCGTATTATTATCGATATAATAATGTACATATCATTATTAATTAGAATATCTTTTTCGCATCGAAAATGTGTATGGATCGAGCGGATGGACTTTGCGAGTACTTTTTAAAGTATAAATCTTTTGATGGATCTTTTCTAATTTTATACTTGAAGATCGTATCTTTGGGGGATGCAATTGACTGCACTCCTTTATTATACGTACGTGACTTCAATCTTTTATGCACTCCTGCACTATATTTTTGCGATTGCGAACAAGAGTATAAATATTTTAACATCTTTATCAAATTTTATTGTTATATGCTTTTACAAGTATGTTTTTCGTATTTTAATAAATAAATATGTTTATCTAAACATACTTAGAACGTATGACAATATAATTGTTATTGGTTTATCATTGGTCTTCTTGTTGTTTTATAACAAATTAAATATTTGCTAAAAATACGTTAAAAAAATTATAATAACAAAACTATCGTTTTACTATTATAATTTTACGCGTACATGAATTTAAACAGTATATTTTTTCAATGTCCCAAAGAGTATCTGTTGCTGTGAGCCTTTTATAAATTTTTATCTTATCTTTCCTCCAATTCTTGATGATGTTTTTTTTCCTGTATATTCAACATCGAAATTAACAAACTGTTGCATAAATCATATTTTTCTTAAACCACCAATGAACATGATAAAAGTTAGGTGTCATGTGATAGGTGCGACCACCATTATTGAGGCGTGCGATATGTACACACATGAAATAAACCAATAACTTTGTTATTAGACAATGTTGCCTCTAGTATGTTTCGGCATCTGGTGTATTTATAAACTTAAGCTCTTTAGAAAAATATTCTGTGTATAATATCTGTTAATACAGGATAAAGTAGGGTGATATGAAAATAGGGAAAATTTGATAGTTGACAATTTTATCAATCGTTTAGCTACTGAAGTTTGCATATGAAAGAAATCTTATACAATTGTTACAAGATTGGCATATATTTTCAATTATTATTTGCTGCACATTTCAATTATTTATAAGACTTTCTTCATACATTTTTATGTGAAAAATAAAAGAATTTAAAAAATTTTTAAATTTTTATATATTTTTGGTGTAAAAAAAGTTAATTCGGAATATTGTTAAATTATCATATTTCACCTAAATTATCTTGTTTTATCCTGAATATAAAATATATAAATATGAGTGTGTTAATAATAATGCAAAAGTGCTATATTATATGTTGATAAGTGCTGTTATTTATGAAAGGTGTATGCTATTTATGGGAGTAAATTGCTAGAGGATTACAAGAACTAATCGTAAGAAAACTGAACACAACATACACTTCCAGTAAACGTTTGCGAGAAAGGTTACAGCATAATTAAAAATATTTTCCTAAAGATTGTTATCAACGGTCCTCACCATTATCAACATGCAATGATATTATGTAACCGGGATTAGCAGTAACTAAGTAATTGTAGAATTAATAATAAGGAAGATTGAAATTATATTTTTCGACTACTGGATTAATTTTGTCATATAGTCCGTTTCTATACGAAGTATATCGAAAAGAATGGACAGAGTTGCAACAAGTACATATATCAATCTCATTAATATTTTACTTGGGTTTTTGTATTTTTATTTTGTATCATTCTAACGGGCTATAAGATTGATGATTACTGATGTATGAACTAATCATCATCTTTTACTTTATTTATTATTATTATTATTTCAAGATATAGTTATATTTCGAAATCGAGAATAAGCTATGTTCCCTTGCGATTTGGAAGTAAAAGGACGTATATCCTACATGCGTATATACAAATGCAATTGCTTCCTCTTTTTTTTTGTTAATCGCAGGTTCTCATTTCGAGATAATGCTGTCACATTTAATGTCACTCGTAATAATATATCTTTGGTATATACAATATAGTTACATTAATTAACAATAGCAGGCCTGCAAGAAATCATTAAGACCATTTTTGTTACCTATTTCAAACAAATAGTTTATACCTGGGTGAAGATTTCTGTCAATTTTTTGGCCATATCTAAGCATATTGTTTATGTGCAAGATGAATACCGTGGAGGAAAGTTGTGCGTGAGAAGCACAATTGTGATACACATATGCGACTAATTGTAAGCGATTTACAGTACAATACATTCTATGACAAGGCTAGACGAAGAAGTGAGGAAGGATACTCGGGAAATTTGGCATGTAGCCGGCGTATATGTAGGACGAACTATTTTTGTTAGTCCCCGTTTATATGTATGTGTATGTTATCTTACTCGCTTCGTAACTTTAAAGACGTCGGTCTCGGACACAGAAGAGAGATCAGGGAACATTTTCGACAGCTTCACTCGTGTTGCGAATACTGTTGCATGCCTGGCAATTTATCAAGAGAGTCTTATGATGCGTCGCGGATAGTAGAAAACGAATTAAAAGAAGGCAAGGCATCGATAGTTACATAATTGTATAATATTATAAATGTAGACTGTTAACCAATTAGATTTCGAGAATATAACTGAATAATAAATTTTATTTTCAGTGAATTTTCTTTCCAGTGAATTTAACAGAAACTTAAGATTTTATTGTTAGACAATGATGACTTTTTATGAAGCTAGACTTTAGTTTAAATTTACTAAAGGATTTGTAACTAGAAGGATATTTTTTGATTACATCGAAATGTTCTAATTAAAATTTTTTTCAGTTTTTATTTATAATAGCGCAATATTTGCAATTAATTTTATTCTACGCAATTAATTGAAGCGATAAAATTATAGAGATTATGCATTTTACGTAAGTTTGAAAATTACACATTGTCAGTGGTAAATATGATATTCAGTTAATTTGAATTTATTAATTTGATTTATAAATTAATTGAAGAAAGAAAATTTTAGAAATCGCATTAAATTATTCTGCGTCTTTTTATCTTATCTGAAAATTGCAAGTTTTTGACATAAAAACGAAACATATGAGAGAGCGTATATCGGTACCGTCCATATATCATCCGTCCTATGCATCCAAACATTTCTAGATCAACAACAATTAGTATTAATTTATGTAGAAAACTTTGCAGATATCTAATTTTTATAATACACAGCCGGCGCATGTTGTTGATAAGAACGTATGGATCGATGGACCGATGGAAAATGTGCCTGAACATTGTCTAATCGTTACATTATTAATTCAGTCATGTCTCTTCGCAAGTACTTCTATGTCCAAGACAGCGTCAATTAGTATTGTAGTCCAAACCGTAATATATTTTTCTATGTAGATATATGCTGGAATGAGTCGAGCCACCGAATCTTTTGTATTGTCGAAAACGCGATTATTATTTATGTTATTAAAAGAAGAAAGATGTAACAATTGAAATGACTACGTTAATGCGTCTTAATACCGCACCTATCTTTATGTGTTTCGTTATCAAAATACTTGATTCTATTTGTCACAAAGTTTTCGTACAATCTATTTCATGTACAACAAAATATATAAATTACTTTAATGTCAATCTTTCCAATATCACTGATGAATTTTCGTATAAATATAATACGTTGATAAATACTTAATAGGAATCGAACGATGCGCGAATAAAGGCTGAATGTTATGAAGGAGCAAATTATATATACTCAAACACAAATTATGTATAATATATCTGTATATATAACATTTTTTGTTCTCCATATATTATTAAAATAATAAATGAAAGATCGATTCATAGCTTCTTTCTAGTTCCACGATCAGGAAAGATCTAATTTTGCAATCCTTTCAATCTTATTTATGATTTGTCTAACTTTAAATGGTAAAATCACATTACGTATTCAAATTGTAAATGCTAAATAAAATTTACATTAGCTCATTCGTTTAAGAAAATAAAACGCATACCCAAATGTCACAGTTCGCGTGATGCGCGTGTTTATGAATCTCGTTTTAGATTCTCAAAATAAAAGTAACACTATAGTCTGGAACTTCTGGTTGTGTCGCCGGATGTGAAGGTGTGACTTGGCACATACCGTTTGGTTAAACGATGAGTGCTGCACATAGACTTTTTAACACGAGGGAAATCGAGTTAACATTTCTTACTTAAATATCTACTAAATACTTCCTAATATCAAAGAGATCAGATTTTGCTATAGATTTTAATCGGCAATTATAAGTTGCGACATTTTCATATCAATAATATCAACTTGATAATAACGTTAACAAATAATAAGTTGATGATAATTCAATAGGTAAGGCACACTAAGGGAGAAAAAGGTGATTGTTCCTTTTCATGGCAGCGTTTTATTCCAAATAATTGTAAGTCGATGAGAGTATAAACGTATTTTTCTCTTACAAAGCGATATATTCTAATCGTTACCCTGTACATATTTCTCTCTGTGATCGTAAACACTCTGCGATAAAAAAATATCATGGTTTTATCAGTCTTTGCGTCGTTTATACGTCGCCGGCGAGAAAAATCATCGTAAACGCTATTGATTAATATCCCTACAGTGATAATTGTGCCTGGAACTTGCATGTAACTCGGGTAGACGTCTGATAAAAAAAATAGCGATATGACGTCTGGTCGCAAGTGATCATTCGGCACTTATTGAGTGTTTCTATTTCTGGATTGCACGATGCATCCACGTCATAGTAAGCTTCACCTTTTTAAAAAAAAAGGTAAAAAAAAGACGCCAAGTATAAGCGTCAACCAACCAAGAAGTATATAATTTAATTATTTGGATATATTTTGTTAGAACAAAATACATTTTTATTGTATTCCAAAGTGTTATGAAGGCTCCCAAAAAGAAAATATGTCGAAAGGAGAGAGTACTAATGTGAGCCACAAAATGAACGGAACTCGGTTCTCACAATATAGAATCAAAATTTATCTTTAATAGCATAAACGTGTCGACCCTTCTTCGGGTCTTTCTCAGTCAAACTCGTTTATGTATAGATAAAATAAAAAATTTTATTGTCCCTACAAAAGTAATGATATCATCAAATTGCGCCAACTAAAATGGATGTTTATACAAACTAGATACTTAATTTTTCTGAGATCAAATCTTCGCAATAACCTTTCCTGTTGGTGTACAGCCACAAAAATAAAAAATTAAGTATTATCACTTTCCTCATCAAAGCATAATTTGCAATAACCATCACGTATTTGAAACAATAATCCAAAAGTATTTGTTACTAATGAAAGGTCTTTTTACAAGTTAAGAACAATTGCTTTAATCTTAGCGCCAAGTAGACTCCACCCTCTGCAAAGTAAAATTAATTTCGAAATTTTTCTGAATGATTTTTCTATATACGAGATAAATTTTTATAAGTAATAGTATTTACTTTTGATTATCATCTACTTGTAATCTGCTGTAGTTGGACAGATGAAATTATTTGTCCAAAAGAGCTCCATTTCCTGACCTCTGTGACACTCCAGTGCTCCAATAAATATTTTATTTGTATTAAAGTTGTCGTCTTTTTTTACCTTTTTTAAAAAAGGTTGTTTTTTAAGGTGATAGCACAAATTTTGTAGTAAATATTTCATAATATTTGTTACAACCCTAAATTTTCACACCACATGATATTTCACACATCCATAGAATGTGAAATTATATGTGTATGTACGTATGTATGTATGTATATGTACATATCATATGATTTCCAATTTATCTTCTTAGTCTTCTCTGTCATGAGATGATTATTGTACTAAGAAATTTGATAACATTATAAGATTCTGTTTCTTCGCAATAGATTCATCAAGACATTCTTAAATACATGGAACTAGATCATCACAGTGGTCACCCAAAAAATTACTTATTCTGTTTTTGTTCTTGCTGTTATGGAATCGTAGTTGAAAATTCGAATATGATGTTATAAAATTCTGTTTCCTCAGGTTTCCTTCAACTTCCTGGAATATACCCTGAATGTACTTAAGTACGATCATTCTGCTGATAACAAAGGAAATAATTACACATTTTCTTTAAATTGGGACAGTTATTGTAATCGAATCTTCGATAAAATGTCTCTACACTCTAATTTCGATAGTCATTATTAAAAGTACTAAAAGTAGCCATAACATTAAAATTTCGATCACAATAATGTTATGATGATTGTACAAATAAAGCACGGTCTGTCATATTAATCTGACATTAGTTTACAAATTATTATATTAATATTCGTGTATAAAATCATTAATTTTTTTTACACCATTTGAGATTTTCGTAAATCACTATTATTCAAGAGCAGTTATCAATCTGTTGTAAATCTATATCGAATCACTAACACTACCCAATGTAATTGCATTGAAATGTATGTTTCTGCATAATGTCTTTCATGCATTTTAATAATTGCCTTCGTATCAACAAATAGGAGATGTCCTTTTCAGAGATCATCACGATTGCGGAACTACGGAACATTTGACCGCAATTTGAGAGCTCTGTATTGTCTATAAAGTCGCTGCTTGCAGAATTGGTAGAATTCGACCTCGCGGGTAAAGTTGCTGCGCACCAAGTTCTTCACTTCCTCGCTGACTGGCGGTTTAAAGAAGTTTCGATTGATCCTCGTAAAGGAGTTTGATTGATCTAAAAAAAATTGAAAGACATAATTATACGGATGATATAGGAATAATCTGATTTCAATAACTTACGATTGTAACGTAATTAATGCGCAATTATCATTGTGCAATAAGAGCAATATATTGTATATGCCCAGATAGCTAAATTTGCCAGAACAGATTTCGTGAAATGCACAGTACAAATTTTGAAGGCAGAAAGACTGCAGATTGTATACAGGAACAGTTATATTCGATATGTTACCAGCATGTCAGCAGAAATACAACAAAATCTGCTCACATAACTGGACCTGCTCGGTTTCTGCCGACAATCTGTCGACAGCGTATGTTTTACAGACTCTATTGTCAAAACAAAAGCCAAATGCGGACACAAATGGCTATGGTTTTGGTGGGTTTGGTAGGTTTCTGATAAATCTGCTAACATTTTGCTGACTGGGTACATATACAGCGTGTCATGCGACGCTCGGATCAGCCGGAAAAGTTAAATAGAGCAAGATAAACCGAATCGAAAAGTCCTATATCATCTTGCAAAATTCTCCATAGTTTTTGAGTAATAAATAAAAACGTCTGGGCGAATGAGCGCACGAGAAGCAGCAGGCGGGACTCGGGAGACTTCTCGGGGCCTTCAGATGATGCTCACCGCTCGCCTCCCATCACGCGTCACTCGCCCCCCAATAATATGCATATATGTAATTATTTTTACAAATTTTAAAATATTTGAACTTTACCAACTTATTCGACTAATCTATACTCATAAGAGATATTATACAATTGATTTATGAGAAGTTAATCAATTGATATGTGATTAAGAAGATAAAGATTGGCCAGCGGATAAGATCAATGGCTTACCGTAGTAAACGTCGGTAGCTCCCTGAAAAAATCGTGGTATGTAGTTTTCCAGTACCGTGAGAGTTGTATTTATATCCTCCAAGACGCCTACTACCGCGTAGTGCTTTTCCACCGCTAACTTGGCTCGCTCCAGGGCACCAACGGTATTAAAAGGACTTTCGGAAAAGAAGTATATGTTAGAATGTCGCACTTGTGCATTCCATAACAAGTTATTGAAATATTAGTAAATAAGTTATAACTTTTCAATTTATATATAGAGAAAAGTCCCCTATTATGAGATAGGCTTCTAATATGAGACAGGTTTTCAACATTCAAATTTAATCACAAATCTTCATTCACAACGATTACACGATCTAACAATGAATTTTCCACTAAACAGATTTCACTCCAAGGGCAATAAATTTAGGATGAAACCAACAAATTATGTCTATTAATTTAGCAGAAACCCTGCAATCTCATATTAGGAGTAGGAAGACAAATTGTTTGACGACGTTAAACTGGCTAAGGTGGTTTAATTTAACAATTTATTCCAATGTTACAACCATCCAGATTGTGATCCTTTTCAAGGAAGTTCCTTGAATTAAACCACCTTAGCCAGTTTAACGTCGTCAAACAATTTTTCTTCCTGTTTTTAAATCAATTACCGGCGATAATAATATTCTTCTTGTCATATTAGGAGCTTATCTCATAATAGGGGACTTTACATACAACGTTATACAGTATATACTGTTTACTATCGTTATATGTTATTTAAAATAAATTGTAAAATATTTGATGTTACGGATTTCGATATGTGCGGTGGGAAAGCAATTTCTGGATATTTTGCAAACAAATCTTACGTGCATTTCTCGCTGTGTCCGCAGAAGAAGAGAGTTTGCCTGCGGTGGTCACCGATGCCTTCGTGGATCTCACCCTGCAAATATCTGCACTCTCGATCGCCCTTCAATACGCACGACTCAAAGTCCTTCTTGAGCCAATTGGGATCGGGCAACGGTAGGTCCGGGAAGATCTGCTTCCTCTCTACGTAGTACCACGGTGCTCTTACATAATAATACCAGGATATGACCCTCTCGACGGGATCGCGTACTATGTTGATATAAATCGGCTCCGGTAGGTGGAATCTGACGAAGAAGACGCAAGAAAGTAGAAAATGGCGGTAGCAATCACTTAAATTGCCAAGGCTAATCTCGTGGCACTCACTCTGTGAAGTTAGTAAAGCAGACGTGCTTCACGTAAACAGACGGTTCCGAATAACTGCTGACCATCCTGGCGAGATGTAGCTGAAAGTATAAAGAAAGTTAAACGAAAATTACATGCAATCTGCGAACAGCCTGCAGTACTTTGACATGGATATTGCAAAAAGTGATTAATCCTCCATTATCATTCTCGTTATTGTAGGTCCACAATAAACCCCGTAATCAGGAAAATAAGATTTTTCGAAGAGGGTCGACACTGACTTCAAACGTCTCTTTAAGCTGTACAGATCATGGTCTTTCTAAATGTAATATCTTGACTACTTGTTCACAGTGTTTCTTTTATACTTTATTCAATGAGGTCCTGCTCTTCATCTCCCCCCCCCCCAATTTTATGGAGAAAAATCCGAGCCAAAGAAAAACAAAGAAATACCGAAAAGATAAAACCGTTAGCGTCTCAGTCGGTTTGGATCGGTCAGTATCGTCGTACTTTTATATCACCTTGTAGGGCTCAGCGCGGCGACGGGATTGTAAATTAAACTGGTAATTACTACGCGAGCGGCTGCCATCGCACGATTGATGGTAATTGATTGGGTTTTCTTGTCGGAGGTCGTCGTACCTGCTCGATCGGCGCGAGACGTATGGTCTCAACTCGCTGCACACGGTCCCTGTTGAACGAAAATGTATTCCTTATCGACAGCCTCCTCAACAGCTCCATAAAGGTCTGCGAACCGACTTTCGGCACGCGATTGAAGAACAGCACTTCCCGGTCGGCCCTCTTCGTGTTGTTGAGAGCGTCAATGTCGAGCGCTTCCTGATCGTCGTACTAAAAAAAAAAATTATGACGTTAATTATTATTGCTGTCGAATCTGTGACCTGGGGGGGGGGGGGGGTCAATTCTGTATCTTACACTATAATGAAAATGCTGAAAGTGAGCGACTTTGTCTCCTTTTAAGGGGACGGTTAGAAAGAGACGAATTGCTATTAGCATTTTCACTATAGCGTAAGATGCAGAATTATCCTCAGAACGGATAAACCTAAATCTAAGTTTCCTCATATTTGTTCGCGGTCAATTAGGACGACGCGTGTAGCTTTTCTGCATTTCCTCTACGTATCTCGGTAATGGAGTTAAGAATGCCGGGGAATAATCAAGTATACGTGGAGCATCTGTGGGCAGCGCGGCCGCAGCGTCAGAGGAATCAGGATGCGGAGAACGTTGCGGACGCCAAGTGCAATTTACGAACGACTTTACCCGCTCATTTTCGGCGCTCATCTGTCATTATCGGCGTGCTGCCCGTTCTCCGCGAAAGAGAGAACATATTGTTCCGCGAGGAACGTCCGATTCCCTCTCGTTAGATAACGATTCGTGTTATTAGCAAGTCATTCCTCGGCATAAGGCGAACGAAGGTAAGACTTTGCTGTGAGCGCAAGTGCAAGTACGAGGCAGCTGCCCCGCGTCGCGAATTGCGATACCCAGCGGCGCGGTAATAAGCGGCCCGTTCTCTCTCGTTCGCATCGCGTCTTCCGTGTATATTTTTATCACCAGCAGTTACATCGATCGGGCGTTTCTTTTCTCTCCCCGCGATCCACGCGTCGCGCACCGCATGCTAATTTATCCGATTGGCGTTTATCGCCGCAAAAATTTGCGCCTACATATGCATGAGCGAAACTGGAATTGTGTATCGCTTCCGACGCGTAGAGGAAAGAAATGAGAATAAGAAGGCGCGACTTTACGCGTTTTCCTTTCTTTCTTTTTTTTTTCTATTAGAAATTCGCTATCACTGATGCGCCGCTGTCGTGCTTTCTTGCGTCGGAAAGATCGACGAAAGCGTGTGGATAAACTTAGAATGCTATTTTTAGCATTCACCGAATCTGGGATGCTACTGAGTGGATTATAAATAATTTTTTTCCATTAGAAATTCGCCATCACTGATGCGCCGTCGTGCTTTTCTCGCGTCGGAGAGATCGAAAGCACGCGGATAAACTTAGAACGCTATTTTCAGCATTCACTGAATCTTGGATGCCGTTGAGTAATTATATAGTAAATAATTTTTTTCTAATAGGAATTCGCTATTACTGATGCGCCGCCGTCGTGCTTATCTTGCGTCGGAGGGATCGAAAGCGTGCGGATAAACTTAGAACGCTATTTTCAGCATTCACCGAATCTTGGGCGCTATTGAGTAGATTATAAATAAGGTGTCGTTGGTGCAGATCGTTGAAGATTCTTTTAAACACGTTATCTTCCTTTGTTTCCGTTACCTCAGCTAACTCGATTTGATTCTGATACATCGCGCAAACAACGCGTAATGTAAGCAGGTCGTACTCCCGCTTGCGATTTACCGGTTTAAGAAATACGTTGGGCACACATGTAACGGATGAATAAGGTCACCTGGTGGTTACACAGTAAGCGATCGTACAATATCGGCCTTAATCTTAATAGTATGGCACGGGAGCTAACAACATCGAGATAAGAAGCGAGATATTAATGCGAGAATATAATGCTCTATCCGTTTATAATTGAAATGGGACTCTTGTTTATTAGAGCGAAGAATTACTTGCTAACAATTTTATTCGTGTTTTCATCTGTTTTATTATTAGAAAGGACTGATAATTATTAAGTAACTTATTCGCCACATAAAATGATAAGTGCGCTAATTACCTTTTCCACGAGAACATGTTGCACATTTGGGTAATGGATGCTGCCATTTGGATCAGAATCAGTTTGGATACCGTCTGAAAAAATAGACAAAAATCTTTAAGAATAAGTTAAAATATTCTAGACGGAGAGAATTTTCTCTTAAATTTCACCCTGAAAATCATATAACCGTGGGACAACATGGCATTTTGAATAACTGTATGAGAGGTTTTTGAAATTTTACCATACATTCTATTAGTAAAATATATACTAAGTATAATTACTAGTGAAATGTATGGTTAAAATTTCAAAGAACTCTCAGAGGATTCTTCGAAATGCCGTGTTGTCCCACGATTACATGATTGTCAAGATAAATTTTAAGAGAAGATTCTCTCCGTGTGTGTAGTAATTAAATGAATGAAGACGTGAAAATTATAAGCTGTCAATAAAGGATTCATTAAGGTAAATATCGTTTTGTCGTCGATGGAAAAACAGTAGCCGACTTTGCTTCGTCTTCGTCTGCACAAAACGCGACCGTAATTTTTTCTCTGCTATTGTGGAGAAAACCGCGACGGATTTGTGTCACGTCATTCGGAAAAATCAGCGCCGGAAGAAGATAAACTTCGTTTAACGTTTGATGGACGACTCTGTCCCGCAAGTCAGCGAACGCCGAGATTCCTGTCTCCGCTGTCACGGTCACGTGGGAAATTGCGTACGCAACGACGGAATTTCCTACGAATGCATGGCTTCGCTTTAGAGAACTCATGTAGATGACACGTACAGTTCCACAAAACGAATTTTTCCTATGCAATCTACACTGAAAAAAATTTCTGGTTGAATATGGACGAATCAGATAATTCCTTTAGGATTTACCAGGGTTCCTTTAGGATTTACCAGAAATCCTGTAATCCTACAGAAATTCTGGTAAATCCTAAAGGAATTCTGGTAAACCCTTAAGGGATTATCTGATTCGTCCATATTCAACCAGAAATTGTTTTCAGTGTAGCGATCTTTCCCCGTGATATTTCGGCGAAGGGGAACGAAACTTGGGAATTTCTCGAGAGAAACAAAGAAAAAAAAAGTCAAGTTCAATTCGTTGCATTCGACTGCGATTATATGGAGGAAAGTCTCCTATTATGGGATAGGATCCTAATATGGAATAGCGGGGTTTCGGTTAAATCAATAGGCATCATCGGTTGATTCCACTACGAATTTATTGCAGCGAAATCTCTGTTTAGTGGAAAATTAATTGTTAGATCGTGTAATCGGTTTTGAGTGTTGAAAACCTGCTCTGGGAAAAAGAAGACAGTTAGCAACCCAAAATGTCTTTTTTCCCCAGAGTGCTATCTCATATTAGAGGACTTTCTTCTAAATATATATTACTGGAATACGTGCGATTTATACATTCGACTATTTTGTCTGTCATAAAATTAAAACATATCATAATCGTTGGTCTTTTAATCTTATTCTTCCTCGTGGTTTCGCAAGTCGTATCTCTGACGATGTATTCCGCGAATGTTGGCGGATTGTTCTCTGACGTGACGCGCGTGTAGATCTCTATCGCGCTTTTCCCAACGCGCGCATACAGTCGGAATTCGGTGCGTACGTATAAAGCTGCGCCGGAAATACCGTAACAAGGTCCGCGCGATCCGTTACACGCGTACGGAACACGCATCAAAGTTATTTAGCCAGCAAACTTTGCGCGATTGTTCGCTCGAAACGGAGCCGCGGACGTCGGACGGATAAGGTTCAGAGCTCCGGCGCTCCGACGCGGGTGGTTTGGTACCCGTAATTAGCATTCCGATTACATAGCCTGCCGGCACGCGCGGGGCATTGTCGAGATCTATGTGACGCAAGATACAAAAAGTATCATTTGCGCCGTGTTTCCTGGTAACGATTCAATTAACGATGAATTAATTAAGAACAAATTGTCCCGAGCTGGATCGAGGAAGCGATGAGATGTTACCGTCGCGCAACGTGATCGATCACCGGCGCAGCCCCGCGGAATTCATTAAGACGCTTAGAAAGTAACTACGACTCCGGTCTCTTGTTAGCGCACACCAGAATCCGTCGGATTGTACGCGAGTGCGCGGATAACGAGAGGCCCGCGATAGATAAATCGGCGATCGCGCGGTGATTAAGAGGTCGCCGTGGAACTCGGCCAAGATCAACGATCTGTGGAAGGACCGGAATCGAGGTCCCCCGTAGGCGACCGTTGGTCATCTCTAGAAAGTTACCGCTCCCCGTCGAGCGCCGAGAGATGCTCGAGAGCATCTCTCGTGCGCGCGGAACGAACGCGCGAGAGGAAAAAAGGTACAGCGCGCGCGCGCGCGCTGCCGGCAATGCGCGTTTCCTATTTCTCTTTCTCCACGCCTCTCTTTCTCCCTGTGTTTCTGCCGCGATGCAGCCAACTGGAAATGAGATCTTGTTCCGCGCGAAACCCGCTCGATCGCTCCATATACTTTGTCTTTGATCGACGCGACTAATCTGATTCTTCCGCGCAATCAAATGCGGATTAACTCGTGTGAGAGACGCTTACTGCAAACCGCAAGGCGCTGCTAACAGTCAATTCATATGCATCTGCTCTCTGGGAGACCGATTATTATTTTATCGTTCGATACTTTCCCAAGGAACAATTTTAAGTCAAGATGACATCAAATTGACATTGTCCTGACTTTTTCTTCTCCTTGGGTCGAATTTGGCGGTTCTACGCGGTACAAACTTGAGAGTGTACGGTATCTCGCCGAAGGTCATAAAGTGACGACAAATTATCATCTCACTGACTGCAAATAAAGCCAACGGCACACGATACTATTTTTCCTGCTGGATTGCGTAGGAGAACCAAGAAGGTTGCAGAGTTTTAGATCAGGCAACTTACGGCTAAATCCTGATTGGCTCTCGCAAGCGATCCGGTAGGAAAAATCGAGTGCCGTTGGCTTTAGATTCAACGGAACGCTCGATGCTACATTCGTGCGGAAAATGTAGCATCAGGGATTCAGTCGGGATCTCGTACGAGAGATAGGCGGGTGCGAGCGGCTCCTCTCACGATCGCGCGCGCGCACAGTAGATGCGGTCGGTTCGTGATCAGACTGACAATAGCAACCGCGGGCGCGGGCAGCTTCTTGTGACCTCACGCAACACGCGAGGGAAGCCGACAGAGGCGATTATCGATGGTACTTCCTCTTTCCCTCTCTAACCCTGACTCTTTGTCTCCTTTTTAATCCCTTTCTTCTTTTGCACATGAGCCACGTGAGTCCGAGTCAGCTTATCGTAACACTTTAAACGGACGGCTCTCTGGGCGCAGACTTCCGATTGACGCGCGCCGCAGCTGCAACTCACAGCGACTCGCGCACAATGCCGATGAGTTATGCACAAGATTGGTTCGCGATACCTCTGTGCAATAACGGTTTCTATCGGCATTGTATTCCGCACCTTTGTAAAACTTCGTCTCAGATAAAATCCAAGTCGTGGGTGCATACTGCGATGGCTATAATTAATTTTGTATTAGCTTGTTACCTATGTTATCATGATTATCGTATTGCAATACGGTATAGACAATGCTGTACGATAACCGATAGCAATGGCCAAGTACTGGTTGTGTCCAATATTTTTCATAGCCCTGCTTACTTCTTCAAGCAGTTGCGTAGCAATGAAAGGTGACAGAGATGTGTACCATTAGAAATCTCATTAGTGGGTCTTATTTAGCCTTGCTGGGACATTACAAAGAATGTAT